TCCAAAAAAGAAGTTGCTAACATTGGAAAAAATCTAAAAAGATCTTAAAAATAGATGGGTACATACCCATGGAGAGAAAAGCAGACAAAGTCGTTGCCAGAACTGTGTTCTCTGTGAGAAGTAATACATGTTACATGGGCACATTACTTAGCATGTGTGCACTTAACATGAATACATGTATCTGATGGTAGGTCTACTTTAAACTCCGTGCTAGTTTCCTTGCCAAAGACAAATTGGGGCCAAGATGCCAAGTACTCATTCATAAAGACCATCTGTGCTTTCACGCTGTAAAATCAGTGGAATAGTAATTTTACACGTTCCAACAACAGAAAGTCCTCACACAAAATATGACAGTGTCTTGAGTGTTTGTCAAATATAAAAATCAAATAAACATTTACAGCGGGTCATCAATGGAAAGCTTTGGTGTGTAATTATTTGAATGGGATGGTCAATGAACACTCAGGAACCTGGCAATTTGTGGACCATCAATTGTTGGAACATGTGGGCTTTCAAGCTTATGCAGCAGATAGTGGTCCTGCACCGGAGTTGGTGTGAAGGGTAACTTGACTCCCAGGAGGCAGTTTTGTTTGTGTAACATTATTTAACCCCTGTAATTTAAATAGGTTGTTTCATTATACATAATACCTTTCCTTCTGGTCTATTGATTTATGCTAGATGATTTTTTTTAGAAAATAACATTCTGCCCACTATAAAAGCATTTGAACTTCACCCCTGCATAAAGCCCGATTTGTAGGTGTTCCCATTGTTGAACTCAGTTGCCAGCTCTCCCTCTGGTGTGAGCGCACCTGAGCTCAGTACTATTCCATTGTTATAGGCAGTTGGGCTGACATGCCTCGTCCCCATGTGGGATTAGTGGTGGCACTGGTCTCAGGCAAGCGCTTGGTGCTGGAGACAAGAGCTGTCAAGCAAACCTAATTAGCTATTTGTCCCCTATCGAGCAGCATAGTTGAACAGCAGCTGTGTGTGTGTGTGTGTGGGGG